AAGTGTCAATCTAACCGTGCGTGAATAAACCCACTCGTGCGTGAATCGTTGAATACGCAACACCGCCCACTCGCTCCTCTCCTGACGCACTTGGCGAATCCCTTCCTATGGAACCACAGGCGCGCGGCGTGGAGCCACCTCGTGCAATCGCGAATCACGACCCCACACCCGCTTCGATTCCCTTTCCACGGAGGCCCAGGTGCTGTCCTACGATGTCACCTGTCTCTGATCCTGATCATCCGGGAATCCCTTCCGGCCCCACTGAACCTAGGGATGCGTGCTTCGAAGTGCGTGGAGCAAGCGCCCCCACCCCCCCTCCCCCGGGGTGGATGACATATACATTAGCAAAACAAATGGAGCGTGCTCGTTCTTCCGCGAGAGGCTGGGTGTGCAACCCCACCCTTCCCGCAGTGCGCTCTGTATGGGGCCAGCAGTATGGGGACCAGGGTGTAATTGTACGCGTGTAGGCAACCCCTCGTGCACCTTATTCCACGGGGTCATCGTCAGCCCTAATGTCTATCCCGCGGCTGGATATGAAACCGTGCGCAATGATGTATCATTTCAAATCGTTACGCGCATTTATCCACTCACTCTTCAAGGCTCGAGGTGCCGCACATCGAGTGGGTTGAATGCAACAGCCGGGCGGTGGGCTGGCACCAATAATCCCCCAAGCTCTGGGGTCCTCCATATGTATTAAGATGTTTTCAGTCAATGAGTTTGCAGTTGAACGTGTGGGAGAAACCCGCTAGAACCCAGAAAAAACCCCACGCCGCGTACGGAGCGGGTAAACACGACCCCATCATTGCTCTACTACCGTCTACTGGCGAGCCAGGGTATGGGCACATTGATGGCGACGCAGAAGATCCACTGGGGGTTTTGATCCTCCACGAAACGGATGGGTCACCCCTAACCGCATCCGCTGCACAAACCGTGGCAGTAGATGCGGATACCCTGATGCGCAAATGGAAAATTCAAAACTCTCCAGTAGCAGTGTGCGACTGTGGTCATCCAGAACCGACTACGACGTGTAACGACGCAATGTCCTGATATCCACCAATACAAAGGAGACATCACAGCGATACACTACTCCGCTGCTCCTGCCGGGGTTATCTGGCTTGACCACGTGAATGTAACATTTGCAGTTGATGCTCTGCATCTACATCATCAGTCGTACGAAAGAAAAGTACCCCAATCAATGCCAACGGGTAGGGAATATTCACGCCATTTGTGTCATCGACCAACCTTCGCATCCACAGTGCTGCATTAGAGACCACGTGCATAGTTCACCACTTCCCGGCTAACTGCATCCCCATGCCACTACCATTCCTCGTGGTCGTTTTACGATGGATGCCTCAATCCATCTCGCTCCTGCACCATGGGTAGATTTTCTCATCCCTCCACCTCTCGGCCGCCCACCCAGCCTCTCCACCTTACCGGCTACCACACAGCCATTGGCTGCCATTTCTTTTTTTTAATTTAAGCTATGTGGGTCGTTTTCAGAAGCGACCTGGCTATCATAAGTGACAGCTCAACGAAGTGGCTTATGTGGAAATGTACAGAAGCCAAATACTATAAACGCATATTTTTTAATGTGGAGGGAAAAACTGGAGAGCCCGGAGAAAAATCCACGCGACCACAGGGCTAACATGTAAACTCAAATAAAAATATACAGGAGTCGGGATCTGGATTGAAGCCACGACCCCCTGCATACCAGACGAGGTAGTTAACATTTCCTAGCCACCCAGCCTGGCCCAACGGTCATGATCCCTTCAGGCAATGAGACTGGCCCAAGGCCAATTACTTTACTTATAATTTTATATGATTAATTTGCATTTGTTCTCAGACCCACGCGTTTCTCTTCGTGTCTCTCAGTCAGGAAATCTGTACTTACGTTAATGTCGCTATTTCTGTAAACTGAACTTCAGAAAACATATTCTAATTTTGCTGTGAATCTTCAGCAGTTGCAGCTATTGTCATTCTGCTGCTGGATGAAGGCCTCCCAAAGCTGCCACCATCTCTCATTTTAAAAACTAATCCACCTAGCACCTGCACCCAAACGGATTTCATAAATCTATCTCCTCGATGGAGTGCTCTGGGACGCTTTCCTATGTGGTCCGTGATTTGATATGTTCATCAATAATTGCCATATTTGTTTCTGTATAATCTATGTATGTCATTACTATAATACCGTTGTGTGTGTAATGTATGTGGTGTTTTCAGATTGGCTCTGCACTTCAGTTTAATGGCCTTGAAAGGCATTTTTTGCAATCGAACAAAAAGCAGATTCAGCGACTTAATTGAGTGAGGTGAGCCAGTGAATAAAAAAAAGTGTCACCTCTCCACCCTTATTTAATTAACCCTCATATGAGTGATTAAACCCATGATGCATAATGAATGCAGAGAATGTTTAAGTCGCACTGCTCTGCATGAAAGCGAACATTGATTTATCACCGTATGGATTAAAACGTAAAGTTATTGTCTCGGTCAAGGACATGGGGAGCATGGGGTTTGCTGTACGTGGGTGTTCGAAATATGTTTTTAAAAAAAAAATACCCCCTACAGCATTTTGTCACAATAACAACAAGGTCAGGGTCTGGCTATTCACTTCAACTTCACCTCGCTATCACTTCCTTCCTTCTGCCAGTTCTCTCAGCTGTTGCACAGTTGGCAGCGCACCACCTGCAAGCTCTTCTTTCACTCTATCCCTTCCCGGGTTGTTTGTCTTGCACACGTGGTGTGTGTGTGTGGAGCAGTAACGTAGTGGTTTGCATGATGCTGTGTGAAATCCGCGATCCCAATTTGATTCCCGGCAATGACAAACAACCGGTTCACATAAATGCAGTGGCATTTTTCTGAACCGGTTTTGGGACTCCCCAAATTGTCAACTCAGCCTTGCATAAGTACTTGGAGCAGTATGAAAAAAAACATCAGTACGAGAGAGACAAAGGCGACGGAGGAACATGGTTCTGGCCACACCATCCATTTGTGTGCAATGCCAGCCTCCATGGGTGGCATTAAGTCTATCATTGGTCGTATTAAGAACACACTATAAAGTTCATAATATGTGTAGTCTAATAGACAGTGTGTCGTCAGTGGTGAACAAGCACAATTAACAAACAAAACATTCACATTCGTTAATAACACCGTCGCCTTACAATGCAAATATATCGTATATAAGAGACGACGTTTCAGGCGACGACCCTTTTTTCAATGCACAGACATTATATTGTGCTACGGATAAGGGCCATTGCCGAAAACGTTGAGAAAAGGTGTTGAAATTTTTGTTTCACAATATATCCGCATTGCAATTTGCGTTACACAAATACACATTAATCCAACAGTCCACCGAGACCTCTCATAGGACACCGCTCATCCCCTTGCACGCATTCATATACTATAGAATTGTACACGCAAATTATTCGGTGCGCACATATGAAACGTGCGCGCGAGCTATAAAAGGGACCATAAGTGAGCGGACTGACTTCAATAACTCTCCGGTTGAAATGACACAAATGCTGCCGCAGCGCCACTATATGTGGGCGCGCGTCTAATTGGGTGAACGCGTGGCATTAGACCGAGAGGCACAGGAGAGACACGCGCATCGTCTTCACTGATATGGGAGAAAAAAAATGTAAGTGGGGATTGGGCAGGAGCGGGCAAGGTCGATAATACCTCCAGAGTGGCAGCGGAATGGAGGTTACGCGCATCACAATCCGCGCGCCCTCGGAGGGGGAGCTATGAGATAAACTCGCGGTGCTGTAGGAGTGCAAGAGGGTGCGAAGATGGAGCGACGGCTTTTGTAGGCCTTCATTCAGCAGTGGCTAGAACAACGGCTGCTGATGATGATCATCATCATAATGATGATGATGATGAACAGGCTGTGTCGGGTGCTTCCAATTACAACGACAAAAATAGTTACCATCGTTTAAGCGTATGCGAGTTCAAATTCGCATCTGCAGTGTCATGTGAATGTGGAATTACTGCTACAAGTATATGGACCAACGAGGGAAAGGGATCAGCACCCCTCACTGGCTCGACTGGGCACGCAGACCCAGTGTGGTCGCCGTAGATCTGGCGGCGTCAACGACGAGCAGAGGAAGGAGGCGAACGCTCGCGAGAAGGCGGCCAACAGCGGAGAGGGAGCTGTGGAGCTCACGTGGCCGTCGCAGCACTCGTGACAAGTTGCGACGGCTTGTGGAGCGATATCCATCCAGAAGTGGATATGACGTAGCCGATGATGATGATGGTGATGAATGCGCGTTACGTGTGACGGCGTGGGTAGGGGGGGGGGGGGCATTGTTATCCAGCAGTGGATAGGCCATGGCTAATGGTGATGGTGATAGTCAGGGCTGCATTACGGCGTTGAGGCTGTAAGGACTGCAGCTCTGGCCCTTGCATTATAGGGGACCCAAAGTAAAGTAGTCTACTGCAGTGCTTTATCATGAGTGACACGCAAAACTGTGCGCGCTTGGCCTGCACAACGTGCACGGGTGATGGGGGAATTCGCACGAGTACTCTATGATAAATGCTATTCATAATTGATAATTATCAATTAAAGCCACAGTCGCAGTGTGAATTACTGCACTGCCACACATGTGTTGGCATTGAACATAGGTTCGTTCGTTTTAAGTTAGATTCAGCTTAATCGCATTAAAAATATATAACACGAAATAAACGTGTCATATAATAACGGAGTGTTTGGCATTGGGCAATGGTGGTGGTAACAGTCGAAAAGGACAGAAATGTAATAGAGGAGCTCCCCAAACTATAACAACCTTGAGACGCTATCAAACTTAATCTGGCCCTCACGATGATGATGATGATGACTGTAAACAGGTAAAGGCGCAGCCCTGCAATTTCTTACTGGTGGAAGGGTCTCCACGTAAGACTCTTAGATGGTTAGGGTGTTGTTTTGGCCTACTCTTTTACGCGGGTCAGGCGTCATTGGAAAGAGCGGACGAAGAAGACGACAACAACAACAAAACCACGGGCACACTCACCATCATGGGCAGCCACAGGAACAGCTTGGCGAAGGTTATCAGGAGCGCAAATCTCTTTTGAGCCACGGCCATGCCAACGTAGGGAGTCCTGGCGCAGGCGGCCGCGTTGTTTATGAGTACGGAGTTGGACGCGTCCTTGCTGGAGCTGTCCGTGGTAGCAGCGGCCGGGCCGGTCGACCTGGCACCTGCCGTCGCCGCAGCAGCAGCAGCCGCCGCCGCCTTACCCTCCACCATCCTCTCTTCGGCCAGCGCAGTCACCGTGCTGTGGTACACGCCCGTGTCCTCGATGGTGTAGTAGTTGGACGTGGCGCTGAGCGACAGCGTGCGCTCTCCGGGACGGCAGAAGAGCTTGTAGAGCGCGGGCAGCGAGAGCGCTGTGAGGGCGCACAGCAGGGCCACGAAGAGCACGCACACGAAGAGGCCGTGCGAGGAGGAGTCCGGCAAAAAGCAGCCCCAAGTCCTGGGCTCGAACCTATCCCAGCCGCACAGAGGCAGCACGCTGAGTAGTAGGGATACTCCCCACGTGCACAGCACGGTCCACAGCGCCTTTCTCCTCGCGGGCGACGACCGCGCCTTGGGAGGCGACGACAGAGACGAGGATAGAGAGGACGCCGAATAAGCGCCGCCGCCTCCACCTCCACCGCCGCGTCCCTTGACCGACCTCCTGGGTCCGCACACGTTGTGCAGGACGATCGCCGCCGCCTTGAGGGCTCCGGCGAGGCACACGAACTCGTAGAGGAATCCCGAGAGCGCGCACACGGCGGGAGACACGTCCCCGCCGGACGCGTGCACGTAGAGGAAGAGCGCCGCGGGCAGCGCGCCCAGCAGCTCGTCCACGCAGAGGCACAGCACCAGCGCCTCCAGCACGCCCCGCCGGGGCATCTGCAGCAACCGCGACACCGAGTAGAGGCTGCCGGCCAGCACGGCGGCCACCAGGAGCAGCGTGGCCGAGAAGAAGAGCAGGCTCACCCCGTGCGCCGCTCCGCGCGGGTCCGCCGCCGCGGTGGAGTTGGAGTCGGAGCCGCCGGCTGACGGGAGCGCGGAACGGCACGCGGACTGGGACATTGTCTTGCCGCTCTCGTTTTCCGCTCTCACGCCTCGCTCATTCTGTTCGCGCTACCCCCTCGCGCTCTCTCTCTGTCTCTCGTCGCGTCTGTGTCTCTCGGCTCACTCGAACTGCCTGCCCGGGTGTTTGCTCCCTCCCTCCCTATCTCCCTCGCTCGCTCGCACTGTGTCTCCCACACCACGCACTCCCCTCCTATACGAGCGCTCAGTGGGATCGGGTTATTCACGCACCCCTGACGTCAGGGGCGGTGTCCGCTTCTTGATTTGTGTTGTGTGTGTGGGGGGGGGGGGGGGTAGCCTATGCACTGCATTGGCGCTGTTGATTACGATGTATATATTGTTATCTAGACCCCTCCCGTCATGTTTCATTTCAACATCATTCGGCGTTGTTCATTCCGCTTTGTTACCATTCGCGTTGGACCCCTTTTTCACGGACATGGTGCCTGCTGGGTTAACGGGCTGCCGATATGTTGCGCTTTCGGGAGAAAAAAAATTGGCGGTAAGAGAAACTTGGTAATACCATACGTCTAAGGTTAAGGCTCCTAAGCTAATGACAGCCTGTGTGGTATTGCTACTGTGCCCGCACACAGGCGAGTCGTCATGCTGCAAAGCTGTTAGTGTTCTGTATTTACTGGGCGCAGCTGCGTCGTTAATCAACAAAGCAATCCACTTATTGTGAATGCATTATGCAGTTCGAGTGGCCGACGTGTGAACCATAATACCATTATTATTTATGAACCCCAAACACAATCGAGCAATAGGAATTGCAAATACTGTAACCGCCCAGCATGCCTGGCCCCTCTGGCAAATCGCAGAGAAGCCACGTTGTGTTGAACACGTGTGTCACACGTGTCACGGATGTATGTACGTCGAACTTCTTTCACACCGTACGAACCCAATCTGATCGTGACACACCTGTTCAACTGTGATCGTGACACGGTGTTGAACAGGTGTGTCACACGTGTCACGAATGCATGTACGTTGAACTTCGTTAGCACCGTACGAACCCAATCTGAGGGCGACACACGAGTGCATCTGTGCGTCACGGTCCACGTGGGTTCGTGACACACACAGTGATCGTGGCGCAGTGTTGAACACGTGTGTCCCACGAACCCAGCTGATCCCAGTGCGTGTAATTCAATTGTAAACTCGAGCACAATTATAAATGATAATACAGTAACACAAGTTAAACATTCGCATTATATTGGGTCTCAAATGCACCGCCGCCAAACACAAGAGTTTAATTTAGTTGAATGTTCAAAGATCAATGTTAACCACATTTCCCCTCGACAGATTGCATGGCGAGCGATCGAGACCCGTCGTGGAGGCCTTGATCCAGCAGTAGATTAACCATGGAGGCTGATTATTATGATACAAATAATGACATTCCTTTGCTTTGATTAGATATGACTGCGTTTGGGGAATAAAGTTAACTGAAATATTAGTCGCCGGTGAAAGTGATGTTTTATTGCTGGCTCAAAATCATTCTGAATTCAAGTCCGCAACAGCAACTGTGTGTAGAGTATACGGTATGTATGTACACATAGGGTACTGTATATGTAGCAGAACACCCTGAACAAACGCGTGATACTTGTTAGGAATTAATAGAGCAGCCCGGTTCATGGCGAGAGAAAGGTGATGTTAGTTTGGGTGGACGTAGTTTTTTTTCAAGCGAGGTAACGTAGCAATTCACTCTCTCATCGCCGTTTTATTCAATCGTTTTCTCTTTTCATATCCCGTTTTATACGTCTCTACCGTCTCTTTTGTATCTAGTTTTTTTTTCACACAGTGGCGTTGGCTCATCCGCTTTCGTGTAACATCAGTTCAAGCTTTTACGTAAACAAAAAAAACGATTCCTACACCCCTAGCTATTGTATGCACGCGCTGTCCTAAACGTGTCCAATCGATACAGCAGCGGCGCTCGCTTGAAAGCAACGTCGCTCTCCGACCAAGTGACTAGGATTCGTCAATAACACTGCCGTCAAACAAGAAACAGATAAGCAAGCGACGTTTCAGGCAATGGCTCTTATTCGTAGCAGAAATATGATCTTGTCACCTATTACGTCGGCATTTTTGTTTTGGGTGGGTGGGGGGTCGGTGTTATTCACGTAAGCCTTGAGTTGCTATTTGCGCAACCACTGCCAGCGCAGATTCACAGAAGAAGCATTGGAGTCGGATCGCGAGCCATTGACGCGGTGGGTGTGGGTGCGCCTTAGCATCATCCTGTTGCTCATGCAGCGCCTCTATTCTATGCGGCGAAGATGAATGACTCGCGATGTGTACTCGACAGTGTACGAGGTTGCATAGGAACTGGGACCTATGTCTGAAAGAGACGGTTATTGGTTGAACGTTCACCGGCATCCATTCAAGCAAGCCTGACTCTGCCGATGAGACGCCGTGTTGGCAAAACCGGTCCAGAGTTTGCTTGTGCCGAACCAATGCTGCTCGAATTATCGACTGCCAAGAAGGCTGTGGGGAGTGCCCATGGATCTAAAAACATTATCTGCGTGTCTTCGTTTTGCTTTAGCTGCTACTGATCATCTTTGAAGAAGGGCTATTACCAGAAACGTCGCCTGCTACTATATATTTGTTCCCCCCGTTTAAAGGCAGTGTTTTTGACGGGTATGTTGAGCACGTACTTCAGGGGTCGGCAACTTGCGGTTCTTCAAAGACTGCTTCGTGACGCGGTATTCACGATGCATTGTGGCTCTTAAAAGATTGAGTTTATAAATATTATTCTGAAATTGGCGGAGTTTGGGGATGGAGGGAGGGCACAGAGGGTAACGCCCACCCCTCCCCCCCAAACTGAGCACATTAATTAATTATTTTTGTTAGTTTACAATTAATATTAAAAATCAATTAATTATATGCACCCGCGATTCCTAATGCGAGGGACAAAGCGCTCCCCCCAAATATAGAAGTCAAACTCCACGCCCACGATTTCTATGAACAAACCGAATTCGAAAGAAAAAAAAACGCCTCTCATTGTTACTTTGGTTTTTGCCGATTCCCTGTTATAGCGAATCACGATTTGTGGACTCCCGAAACGCCTCGGGATGGCTCCGGCACGCCAGCACGGGGCCGCTCGCAACTCGCCGTGCAGGACGAACGTCACCGCTCGCACTCACGCGAAGCCTTGACGCCGCTTCTGTGTCCGACGGCAGTGAGAGCGTCCCGGACACAGCACCCCCACCCCCTTTACCAATACGTTTCACTTATGCCTCCACCCCCTCCATCCCCCGTGTGCGTACGTCCACGGCCCGTTTGTCAATCCAGTGCTGGGTGAGGAGCTCCGTGTGTGTTGATAATTTGCAGTGGCACCGAGTGTGCGACATGATTGACAGGCGCGCGCGTCTGTGTGTGTGTGTTAGTTGGGGTGTGGTCAGCGGTAGTGTAGCGGTTAGCGCGCTGCGCTATGAACTTGGCGACCCGGGTTCGATTCCGGCCCACGGCCAACACCAGTGACGATTATCTGAACCTGGTCCTGGGCCTTAAATGAATACCTGGTGCGGTGTATAAACATTGCCACTAGGGAGACAAAGGCGGGCAGGCGTAGTGCTGGCCACCCACCCCCTCGTGTACCATTCCGGCCTTCACAGGTGCTCGCTAACAGCACTTGCCCCTACAGTTTGTTAAGGGTATACAGAGGGTTGTGTTTGGTTCTTCACAAGACATTGCATCTAACCACGCGCACTCATTCATGGCGTTTGCAAACCATTCAATATAGTTGCCAACAGCATTGCCCACAATTTATTAATGTATCCGTTGTAATCATCGGTGTTTTTTGGAATGCGTGTAACAAAATATTTAATTTAATAGTAGGGTGAGGAACAGGAGGGCTACCCAAACGCATATCCACCCTTAAACACATTGCAATCACAAATAATTGAATAAAATTGGAGTTTCACATGCACGCCACAATAGAACCAACATCTAATCAAGAAACAAGTGGGCGTTGTAACAAAAAAAAGTGTAATAAGACAACTTGTCATCACAATCGCCGTCATCATAATCATCATCGTGAGCCAGTGCGGGGCCCTGCCTACTCTCTCCCGGGAACTTATGACCCCAAAGTTCAGACATGTCATAAATTAATAATTGCATTGTCTCCGTTATTCAGAAAATTAATAGGTTGACTGCGGTCACGTGCCATCGTCTCCGAAAGTAAATTCTTCCAGTAGAGTCTCATCATATGGCGCGACGCTGGACTTCACGCGACGTCGCCACCCCGTTTCGCCTGTGCTGAAATGTCACGATCCACTTCGCTCCTGCACGTGAGTTGATCTTATCGCTCCATCTCCGTGGCGATTCCCCTTATCGGGCGCGTTCACATCTCCTCTGCTTCGGCTGCCATTCCATCGCAAGTGACAACGAGCATCTCGATCTCTCTATCGGCTTTAGCGTCGCACTCCACGGGACGCGAATTACTTGGTTCGGTGATGCTGAGAATCGTTTCTTTTGAGTGCTTAGGGAAGAGCCCTGAAGCACTGTCTTCGACATTTCGGGTGACCTTGCTGAATGAGTAAAGTGAACGCTGCGTGACTATATCTGTACAGTTGCGTCAGCTCTCTCGGCATGGCATTGCCACAATGTCACTCGATCACGTTGACCTGTATGAGATGTGTAATCGCAGGTTGTGTTCCAAGCTGTTTATACGAACGGCTTCAACCCATTTAATCAAAACACGGGGAGAGAGGGAGAGAGATGCACGCTTGGAATTGCACTCGGAGACAGAATCACGAACGACTTGATTAGAGAAGACGCGCAGGTTAATTATATCGTTCAAGCTGCCGACTCGAACAAGAACTATTTTTTTATTTTTTCTATCTACGTGGCTTTAGCAGCGACCTGGCCACAAATGATAGCTCAACGAAGTGGCTTATACTGGTAGGAACGAAGTTGTAAACTGAGTGTGCCAGCCTGCAATAGATTAATGTGTCCGTCCCCTTTCAATACTTTAACGAAGTGAAATATCGTGCTGTTGGGTGTAAAATCAGCAATAGACAGCGCAGAGACTTGTCCTACCAGCCCACCCTGCAGGGACCTGTTCATCATGTGGAAATTTATAGCAGCCAAATACTCTAAACGCATATTGATTCAAAATGTGGAGGGAAAACCGGAGGACCCGGATAAAAAAATACCCGCCACCACAGGGAGAGAGACACGCAAACTCCAAATAAACAGCAGGCGTCAGGGTCAGGATCGAACCTACGACATCCTGTATACCAGGCGAGGTTGTTAACATCTCGCCACCGTGGTGCCGATAATTCGATTTCATGAAGCTGGAGTTAAAGCCAAAGGGATGGCACGCGTTTCAGTAGGATGTCCACTCAGGATGAAACACCCTCAAAAATACATCACAGAATCATGAGAGATGGTCGCGGGCTTGGAGGGGGGTGGGGGGTGGGGGCGGTCTTCATCCAGCACTGGATTGATCAAGGCTGAAGTTGACCCCAATTCGATACCAATAATCGAACGGGGGCCATGAATGAACTTGTGGTGTAGGCTGCAGTTGCTACGGGCAGTGAACTTTGGCGGTGGCGGGTGGCGCGTGGTGGCTCTGGGAGAGACTGGC